ACAGGTAATGGAATGAAACAAAAAAGTCTTGAGATGGGTTTGTAGCAGACCTAAAGATAAAGAATAATTGGTTTATAAATAAAAACATCAGGAAATCCCTGGGTAAGGTAGCTTGGTCGAGGGTCAATAAGGTGAACCAAAAAAAAAAACAGCTTCAGCCACTGGGTCCAGTTTCTCTGTTGTCTTTTATCCCTTTTCTCTCTGACAAAACATTTCTCCTCGAGCTTCCAAGAGCTCAGGACTCATATAATCAAGTGGCAACACACCTGTTCTTGAGCAGACCAAGCCTCAATTAAACAAAGTCTAAACAGAAAAACAAGAATAAACTTAATCTAAATTACAAACTAATCTACATAAGGAAATAGTCTGCAACAAGATAACTCAAAAACAAAGCATAACTCCAAAGGAAAACCTCTAAATGGTAGAACCCAGCAAAGTAATGGATGACATCATTTAATCAATTTAGTAGGAAATACTTAAAAAATGGTGAGTAAACAGGAAAACAAATACCATAAATATAATTTGAAACAAAATAAACAATTTCATCCAATAATCCTGAAGTAATAGCTTTAACCTAAACAAAAGTAGATGGAAACTGCAACAAAATGCTTACACAAACAAACCAGGGATAGTAAGTGAAAGTCAAAGTTGCAAACTAATGTTTAAATTTAAGCATTACAAAGATTCAGAAGAAAGAATAAGGGACAAGTGGTAAACACAAACTAAACCACTTTGTCACACCCTGGACAAGATATTTCTAAATCCTGCAATATTTTTAAGATGAAATAAGGATATTCTTGAAACATCTTTGATATGTTAATTTTTAATTATTAGTTTATTTGACAGGAAGAATCTTTATCAGTAAATATATCTGTAAATGTACCAGAAGTAGCCTCAACAGCTATTCTTCATCTGCTGTCGCAAGAAAGATTTTAAGAGTCTTCCCAAAAACAAACATTAAGTTAACTTGAGAGCTCTTAGTTGTAGAAATATAATATAGCTTTATTTTATCAATCCATAGCAAGTAATTAAAACTTCAGCAGCGCTTTAATTCATTCTTGTCCTATCATAGTTTAAACAAATATGTAGATAAAAACCAGAGACACGATACATGCAAAAACCAAACAAGTTTGCATTCATGTATGTTCACTTTCGTTTAAGAGCATTTTTATGCATCTGTTCAGTCAGGTTGATTTGCTGAAGTGCCAATTTATCATAAGAACTTTCATGTATAAATTTTTATAATCAGCAGAGCCATTGGTAAAAAAAAAAAAAATAATATTTGTGTAGCACTTTATTCAAGGCTGTTTACAAATCACTAACATGCGAAACGTTAATTTTGAATAAGAGGCAATTTCAAATAAATGTTTTTCTTTTTAATCTAATTGACCAATGGGAATTATTTAAATCCTAGCAAAAGTGAGAAATTTCCAAATCCAGAGGGAGCACGACACAAAGTAATGGAATGAAACAAAATAGTCTTGGGATGGGTTTGCAGCAACCCTAAAGATAGATAAAGATTGACTTTTTATGAATAACAATCATCAGGAAAATACACCTTTAGACATTCCTGTTCTGTAAGACTACAGTGAGTATATAAAGCTGTGCTTAATTTGTCTTTTTATTATGTACTTGAACCCATATGTTTACTTGACGAAGACTGTATTCTTTCTCTAACGGCTAAGATCATTACAGCCATGCTTTTGTAACTCTAAAGAAAGCTAGACCACCATAAAATATAACAAGTATAAAGGTGATCTGATATTTTCTTTAAAATTCTTCAGTCCAATTAATTACACACTCAGCTATCATGTATACAACTGGTAAATAATGTCCTACATTATTTAATAATAAAGCAGACCTGGCTGGCTATAACCATCATCTAAAATTGAACAACTCCTGGGCAGGGTTTGGGCCATCATGTTTCATTATCCTAAAACATCTTGTATGTCATGATAGGTTATGTGAAATCATCTGCAAAGCATTAGCA